TATATATATATATATATATATATTTATATAAGAACAATACAAAAGAGGCTCTGGTTGCACTTGGAAACGCACGGCTACAGAGTGAGTGAAGAAAATCAAAATAAAAATATCGGTAAAGATTTGTGTTACGGGAGAGTAGCCATGACATCGCACGTGCAGTCACAGCTATTTGGTAGGGTGCCACGACAGAGGCCGAATCAGCATCATCTTCCACCGCTACTGCACCAACCGACCTCGTCGTCATCGTCCAACGTGGTGGAGGTATTCTCTCACCGTGGTGCCCGCTCGCTCCCCGCAGGTACTCCCTCGAGGCTGTCGGACAAGTCTTCCTGCTTTAGCCTAGGTTCCCGTAACTGTTGTAGTGTTTCCACAGTGGTGCCTGGCGCGGACACTGACGTCTGTGGCGCAAGTAGCTGTTGTGGTAATAACGGAGTGAGCTATGCCGTGGAGCACGGCCTACCCAATCTGCTGAACGACATGGTCGACGATATGCTACGCGACCGTCCAGAGGCGGACATTGACGCGTGGATGACGGAGTGGTTTGAGCAAGCGTATGAGCGGCGTCAGCGAGAGGTGCAGCAGCAGTCAACAAAGTCTGGCACACACCACCTGGGTCAATGCGTTATCAGCAATCCTTCGAGCATCAGCAGCTGCGGCAGCGATGCCATTGTAGCACGACGATCGCCAATGGTGATGTCCGTGATTAAGCCAGCGACTACTGCATCGCCGGCGCCAGTCATGCTCCCACGCTCTGGGGAGAATGTGAAAGGCGATGCGCCGAAGACGCAGTTGTGCAGCTCCGTGGACTCGCCGCACTACATTGTTGTTGCATACTCGCCCCTGCAGGTGGCCAGCTTGCTGCCGCAGGGTATGCCGCCGCCGCTGCCGTTGCCGCTGGACTTTGCCAGCACTGCTGGCGGCACCTTGACGATGGGGATGATCGCCCAGCGCTCGTTGCCTCCCCCGCCGGAACCACGGCTACAGTCGGCTGGTGACGACAAGCAGATCGTGGCTCGGCTGCCGCGCGGCGGCGACTTCCGCCTAAAGTCTCGCTCCCCACTCTTGATAGATGTGGGAAGCAGTGAGGGCCTCGCGCCGAGTTCCGCGTGAACCGAACGTGTGGGTAGGGAGGACGCAAAAACAGGAACGCAACATGTATGCAGGACGCGAGACCTGTGCGGTGGCGCAGGTCATTCAGAGGCGCCCGTGGTGCTTAGACGTGCTCCAGGACGAGATGCTTCTGGGGGAAGAGAACGGGTGGACAAAGCAAGTAGGAGGAGCGGCAACGAGTGGGTTCCTCCACCCAAAGCTCTTCTTGAAGGTAGAAATAAGTGTAGCGTGTGTTGGGGCAGAAAGAAGCGCTGGGGCGTCAGTCACGCAGTGCCTCCTTCTGCTCCTCACCAGCATTTCATTAGTTGAGAAAGAAAGGGGGGAAGAGAAAGAGTGGGAAGCACTGCGGTGACGACTCCTGTCGTATTCACTGCTCCCCTCCTCCAAATCTTATCTTTTTTTTTGCTTTTTTCTCTTTTGTTTTGACGTTTATTTCGCTCTTGATGGCTTCACTCACTCACTCACTCACACACACACACACTCTCTTTGCTGATCGTTTCTTTTTTTCCCCGGGGAATGCTTCTGGACACGCATGTATATAGGAGAACTACTGCCAGCGCGTGGATGTGGTTATTGGGGAGGCGTGGGGAAGCAATAGGCAAAAAGTCTGAGAGCAGTGGCTGCAAATGAGGGAAAGAAACGATGGTGGTGAGACGTCTGCGATAGACCGTCGTGGGGATCATATCATTCTGCCAATTTAATATGCCCAGCAGCTGAGAGGTGGGTTTTTCTTCTTTGAGGAAAGGGCCCTCCTCTCTTTGCCGCCACATATATATATATATATATGTATATCTACATCTGCGAGTGTTAGTGTGTGTCCATGTGTGTGTGTGTGTGTCTGTCTGTCTGTCTGTGTGTGTGTGTGTGTTCGTGGGCTTCTGTGTGGTGGGGCGGCGCTTCGAATGCCGCTTGTGTGTGGGTGTTCTCCTGCTCTCCTTCGCCGGTACCATATACGGATGAACAAAGGCGTGTGCACTGTGTAACCCTGCACTGTTGCGGAGTCAACAGAGTCTGTGCAGTGGGCATGTGCTGAGGAGGAGGTGGTGGTGGCGCGTTGCCCCCGTGCGTGTGTCTCCCCGCAGTCTTTTCTCGTTTTGTTTTCCTTTCTCATTGTTCGGTTTCTCATCACTATTCCACTCATTCCTATCTTGTGTTTTTTTTTTCTTTTCCTTTCGTTCCTGCGTGTGCTTCGCTTTCCGTTTTTGTGTTTGTGCTTGTGTGTGTGTTTCTTCTTGCTGTTGTTGTTGTTGTTGTTGTCCCTTCCGGGGGGCGAGCGGCGAAGCAACAACAGCAACAGCAACAGCAACGAAAAAAAAAAAAGATGCGCCGCCACCCAAATGAAGCGGCGGGGCATGGAGGAACACGCCTCCCCACCACACACCACACAAGAACAACAACAAAAGAAGAATATCAAAAAAGAAAAAGTGTAAGGAGAGAATGAAGGCCATGAGACGAAAACAAACCCAAGAAAAAAAAGCTAAGAAACGAAGTGAGAAATATTTTTCGGGTGTGCGGTTCCACGGGACGCCACGCCCCTCTGTTGTATAGGCGAGAGTGCAGGAATGCTCCCAACGCAGCACGGCTTCCTATCGTGTTGTGTGCTTGCCCGTCGCTCCTCCCGCTGCTGCTGCTGCGGCTGTGTTGTGTGTTGTATTCTCCCACCACTTCCCTTTTCTCTTGGCCTCCCCCCGCAGCCTGTCTAGAAGCAGGGGCTCGCTTCTCCGCGTGCCTATTGCCTGCGCCGCAGTCGTGCTTCTCAGCACCAGACTCTGTGTGTGCGCGTGTGTGTTTGTGTCTTCGCAAGGGAAGACGGCCTTGAAGGAAGTTGCGTCGCGCAGCAGCTNTGTGTGTGCGCGTGTGTGTTTGTGTCTTCGCAAGGGAAGACGGCCTTGAAGGAAGTTGCGTCGCGCAGCAGCTGAAGGTGTCTTTGAAAAAGAAGCAGCCGCTGTTTCAGAGGCACGAGCAACCAAAGCAACAAGAAACATACACAAACCGCAAGCACAAAAAAAAAAGGGAACGGGAAAGGAAGGAAGGAAGAAAGAAAGACAAAAAGTGAAGGGAGAAGAGAGAGGCTGACGAAACAGGGAAATCGATAAACGTGGAAACACACATACACGCACACACACACACACAAAAGGAGAGGCTAACAACATGGAGTCACCAATGGTCACGTGCGATGATGTGAACGCTCTCGTTGCGATGTGCTCCATCTCGCAGGAGGAGGCCATCACGTCGCTCCGTCAGTGCTCCTCCAGTCTCTTCGTCCTTCTGTACCAGCGCCTCTTCAACTGTGCCATTAAGGACATCGACAGCTCTCCGTACACCGCAAAGCAGAA